ATATATATATTTTTTAATTAATCTTTCTACGCATATGATGCATGAAAGCAGCACCATGGAAATAGTAATACGAGAGGCACACAGGCCATATCAAAGATATTTGTATCACATTCCACCTCAAATCACAGATTATGTAAAATAGCGACATGTTTCCCTCGGGGCAGTTTGTAAAAGACGTTAAAGAAGAGAGCGCTCCAAAGGTAATGGTGTTTTGCAGCTCATAACCTCCAAAAACAAAGCAGCGGACAATCTGACCACCAGAGGGAGCTCTAAACTATGTTTTTGGCTCGGTGTCCAATTGAAGACCTGGGTGCAAGAAGTACTTAAGTCACATTTTCCAAAAAATGAGCTGACACTACCATAAAGTAGAGGGTCATGTGCATCATTTAAAGCCAAAAAATTCCAAATATAAGTACTCAAGTCCTCAATACTGATATACGGCCTTCCCTGAATCTACTGAATTTTTGTGCAAGAAATACTCAAGTCTTTGCAGAAGTACTCAAGTCCTTGACGTCATCAAGAACAAGTGCCCAAGTCCATGACTGTCCAATCAGCTGCTAGTATGTGTCATGTGACAAGCGTAGCAAAAATGACTGTTTGTCAATCAGAAAATGATTGAAACGGCATTTGTGTGGTAAAAGTACCGAAGTCCATGCATTTTATGGCAATAAGTACCGAAGTCCAGGCATTTTATGGTAAGAAGTACCAAAGTCCGAAACTGATTTTCTTGTTTTTTTCGTAATAAAGCATTATTTTTCCACAAAAACGTGTCTGTCTACTTTGTATAACCCCTGGGACTAGCAGCAGGCGCTACTGAATGTTATCTTTTAAAAAAAGTATCTGCAGCATGTTTTCAAAACTTTGACCCTGAATATCTCAAAAGTGTTATTTTGTGACTAAAGTACTTCTTGCACCCAGGTCTTCAATTGACCTGTGGTTACTGGACTTATTTACAGATGTTGCTACATCATATTGGCAGCTCATCACAATTTGTAGACTCTGCTGACACTTCAGTGTACCAAACCGAAGGCAAAATTAATCCGTACTTTGCACTACGTTCAAAGAATAACTAACAAATGCACATAACGTTAGACCATAAATCTGACTCGGTTGGCAGGCGCAACTTCGTTAGCTAGTTAAGCAATTAAAGAATAAATAATGGCACGAGACATAAATCGTGGGAATAAACCTATTAAAAGTATAGTATCAAGTCTTACATATTAAAAGGGTACTTACATTACTTACTAAGTTTAAAAAAAGTGGCATGGCCGTTATGAAGCGTTTCCCACACATGTAAACATAGGAAGACACTGGATACATAGCTTTTATTCTTAATCTTCTCTTAACTCTCCTTTTGGATTCTTCCCTTATCCAGGTAGGATGGGGAACCTGAGGCCGGACTGATCATTTTATTGGAGGTGCAACCCAGCACACAGCAACTTTTGGGCATTTTACTGCTCAATTATCGCTTTATTTCTCATTGATTTCAATGCATGAGGCGTTTGTTTTCTGCCAAAAAAGGTGCATGTGACCTTGCGCTTGGGCTCTAGATGACGTTGAACCGGTCAGATCTCTATAAAGGTGAATAGATCGAGTGTGGGTTACACTGATTTTATACCGGCATGGGCAGCTCAGCCAATCACATTTAAGGATGGGAAGCACCCGTTTTTATAATCACATATATAGGATTTATTTATTTATTCATTTATTTATTTATTGTCTTGAAAGGGCTAACAGCTGTTTGACCATAGACACCCCAATCCCTTTCCCCCAACCATATCATATAATAACAGCCTCCACATAGAACATTTTTTACCAGTGAATTCACCATTTTTTTTTCTCCATACATGCATGATCATTAATTTGCATTGCATCCTCATATGCAAGTAAAATGAAGTAAAATACGACTTCATTTGGTTTCTTCACCCATGGAGAGTTTTTTTGTCCTGAAATCTATTACATAAGTGCATTACTAGGCCTAAAAAGTGAAATGGTAAATTGCCACTTAGTACACTAACTGTATGCATGCAGCGAGACTGAATGATGTCATAATAAATCTCAGCGTTTAAATTGTGTACTTAAATGAGGCTGTCTATTCAACACAAAATACAATGAGGACTGAAGACAGTCATTATACCTCACCATTGACATTTGTAGACTCACCTTTACCTCCCGTTTAAAATCGTGCACTCGATTCAATGAGAATATGTAGCCCTCCTTCCTGTCGGCGTTAATTTTATGGAGAGCCAAGTCCGCGACTCTCAGGATTTCAGGCGTCTCACAGGTCAGTGGGGCCACAGGACTGGGGTACCCACTCTGGAAACAGAGACCCACCAACAGCGGCAGCACCCACATCTTCATCATCATCATCACACCAAACAGCTCCTGCTCCTGCTTATGCGCTGCCGGGTTTTTAGGTTTTTAGGATCGGTCCTTTTATCTGGCGGTTTGTTGAAGTGAACTTTGACCCACAGTGTTTCAAACGAGAGGGCATCGCCCATGATTGTGAAGCCTGTCAAATTTACTCAGGGACGCCCTAAATGTATCGCCGCAGACAGCAGAATTTTTTAGCTTCTTGTTTGTTTTGACTGAGGTGCCTCCGCTCTTGTCCTTTCAGAGAATAAATTCAGAAGATGAGATGAGCTGTTCCTAATGTTTATTCAGAAGATGAGTGGATGAGAAAAAGGAGAAATGAAGAAAATAAAGGAATGATCGAGAGAAAGGAAATATTGTCAATAAATTTAATCATTTTACAGGCAAATGACTCGTTTAAATTACACATCCATATTTACTGTTTTGGAGTCCCTACTTGATGACATGAAGGGATCCCTGAAGCATACCTGTACTTGTTTTTTCCCTTGAGACCTGCAGGTAGCCTCACAAACTCTAACTTCTCCCTGAAATTTTCCCTTACATAGATTCTAAGTCAGAGAAAACATTTTTTCATATTGTTGGACCGCATCACATACTTATCACGCTTCTGCTGGTTGCCATTCCTCACTGAGGCAACATCACACTTTTATTGAGGAAAATAATCAAACCCACAATGGTATGTTTTTATGGCCACTGCATTACATCAAATGGAGAACATCAGGAACCGGTATGGTTTTTTTTTTAAACTTTGCCCTGTAATTCAGCTGGACATATTTGGGAAACCTTTTTCATTGGAAACCTTTCGATCTCCTAGAATTCACAATAGAACTAAAGTTCTACAAGTTTCCATGCAACAGCACAGTTTGCATTAGACGGAACCAAGTATGGGTCCATAGGTCTTAGGGGTTAAAAACTTGATAATAAAAGGAAATAATGCTGTTGATAATATATGAGAGCTTGGATTGAAAAAGCTGCCAGCCTTTCGAAATCATTCTCCATTGTTTTTCATTTATTTTATCTATCCTTTATTTAGCCAGGAAAGTCCCATTGAGACACAAGATCTCTTTTGAAGGAGTCCTGGTCAAGACAGCAGCATAATCAGTTGGACATATTAATATATATATATTTTTTAATTCATCTTTCTCGCATATGATGCATGAAAGCAGCACCATGGAAATAGTAATACGAGAGGCACACAGGCCATATCAAAGATATTTGTATCACATTCCACCTCAAATCACAGATTATGTAAAATAGCGACATGTTTCCCTCGGGGCAGTTTGTAAAGACGTTAAAGAAGAGAGCGCTCCAAAAGGTAATGGTGTTTTGCAGCTCATAACCTCCAAAACAAAGCAGCGGACAATCTGACCACCAGAGGGAGCTCTAAACTATGTTTTTGGCTCGGTGTCCAATTGAAGACCTGGGTGCAAGAAGTACTTAAGTCACATTTTCCAAAAAATGAGCTGACACTACCATAAAGTAGAGGGTCATGTGCATCATTTAAAGCCAAAAAATTCCAAATATAAGTACTCAAGTCCTCAATACTGATATACGGCCTTCCCTGAATCTACTGAATTTTGTGCAAGAAATACTCAAGTCTTTGCAGAAGTACTCAAGTCCTTGACGTCATCAAGAACAAGTGCCCAAGTCCATGACTGTCCAATCAGCTGCTAGTATGTGTCATGTGACAAGCGTAGCAAAAATGACTGTTTGTCAATCAGAAAATGATTGAAACGGCATTTGTGTGGTAAAAAGTACCGAAGTCCATGCATTTTATGGCAATAAGTGCGAAGTCCAGGCATTTTATGGTAAGAAGTACCAAAGTCCGAAACTGATTTTCTTGTTTTTTCGTAATAAAGCATTATTTTCCACAAAAACGTGTCTGTCTACTTTGTATAACCCCTGGGACTAGCAGCAGGCGCTACTGAATGTTATCTTTTAAAAAAAGTATCTGCAGCATGTTTTCAAAACTTTGACCCTGAATATCTCAAAAGTGTTATTTTGTGACTAAAGTACTTCTTGCACCCAGGTCTTCAATTGACCTGTGGTTACTGGACTTATTTACAGATGTTGCTACATCATATTGGCAGCTCATCACAATTTGTAGACTCTGCTGACACTTCAGTGTACCAAACCGAAGGCAAAATTAATCCGTACTTTGCACTACGTTCAGGGCCACGTCGTGGGCGAAAATGCTGTGGGCCACATGTTGTGGGCTTTCATAACAAGCAGTTGTGTAAATTGCAATGCAGTCTTACTGCTTTATACAACCCATTTCTAGAAAAAAAGGTTGGGACAAAACAGAGAATGCAAGTAAAAACAGCAAACAGTGATTTGTAAATTTACCTTGACCCATACAGTTATCCCTGCAAAAAATGTGCTATAGGAATCCTATAGGACAGTTCAATAGAATTCTATAGAACTTTAGTACCTCGAGTCCTATAGAAAAAAAGTTCTATGGAAAACAGTTCCATAGAAAATCTCTGGAGGACTTTCTCCCCCAGTTTAGCATCTTCAAGCCCACCCAAGTTTGGAAGGCAACCACAAACAAAGCACTCATTTTATATCACAGTTCCAACAATCCTTTCCCAACTTGCATCCCTGTCACACAATGACCACTCATGCGCTACTCTGACTGGGGTTCGAACCCAGACACTTTTGCTCCGCAATGCAGTGCTTTAACCAAATGAGCCATTCGGAGACTCGTACTTTAATTGTTAGAAATAACCTTTAGAAGAATAAAGATGGTGAGAATAAGTCTCAGCAGACCTCAAATTGTATTCAAATTAATTCAAAATCTGTACATAATCTGCAATCACATGCATGTGAATGGAAAAGAATAATTTGATTGAATTTTTAGAACTAAGAGAAAGTTCAAAAGGTCAAACTTTCAACGTAACTCTGTCTTTATAAGCAAAAGAGGAACACGAGTTTTCCATCATAGTATAATAAAGTTGTAATGCCTTGCATTTATTTTTGAATTGCTGCCGAGGAAATGGAATGAGGTCTTCATATACCATAACTGAAATACTGCTAAGTTGTGTGGTCAGTCAGTCAATCAATCGTCTGATCAGAGAATCAATGAGTTGGTATGTGCCTGCTTAAGCACACCTTAACGTTAAAAGGGACACAATTTCCTTGCTACTTCAGTATCGTGGATATCACTGCATATTGCACATTTTCATAACATTAGTCCGGTTACTCACTTCTAGAACCCAGGTACACATAAGGTAAATTGACCCATCGGCAGAGCATTGCAAAGATTCATAAGATTTATTTTTATTTTTATTTAACCCTTATTTAAGATGTCTTTCCCATTAAGCTTTTGTTCCATCAGAAGGTCCTAAAGACCATCAAAGTCCTATAGAACAGGTTTTTCAACTATGGTGTTCTATAGGAAAGTCTTATGGAACAGCAATAATCTTACAGGACTTTCTTTTCCACAGAGGTGCCCTATAGGTTTCTAGCAAATTCCAATAGAACACACAGAAAATCCTATAGAACATGCTGTTCTACTAAAATGTTCTATAGAGTTCCATTGATGTTCTATAGAGTTTTATAGAATTCTATAGAATTCCATAGAAGTCCTATAGAAAATTTGGTAACACTTTCTATGAAGGCTATGTCTATAATGCATTATGAGCACATTCATAACACATTATAATATATTCATAATACATTATAAAACCCTTTATAAATGTTCATAATGATGCATGATACCTTATAACAAGGTTTATAACGTATTATAAGTGCTGGGCATAACGCATAAAGTTCAGCATTCGTAATGATTTATAACCTTAAAGTCAGTCCTCAGTTGCACAACGCATTATAACTCACAAAATTTAGCCGATAATAAAGACACATAGAGAAGCACTTTAAGGTTTCATAACAAATTATAAATGATCAGCCTCTGAACAGGAATAATGGGTTATAAATATCAGTAAGGGACTATAGCGTGACTTAGAGAGCTTTAGGTAAAGTGACAGTACTGTATAAGGTTATTAGCCATTATAGGATATTAAAACTCCAATATAAGAGCTCATGAGCGGTATTTGCTGGCTGTAAGTAAAGTGCAAGAAAAAAAAAATCGCAGTGATTGTTGAAGCCATGTTTTCTTTATTTTTTTTAACAACTAGCACACATTACCACAGGGAATGGCACCACCACCTCAAACACAATAGCCAATGGCACAGTATTGGGGTAGTACCAGGCAATCTCACAGAACAGGTGTGAATATGCAACAGCAAACATCAAGAAGGATGTTGTACAGTAAATGAGCATACATGTTCAGCCAACCTTCCCTGGGTAAAAAACAAACAAACAAAAAAAACAGGAAAATAAATTGATAGAATTTTTCTAGAAAACAAAATCAGTGCAATTACTGTTTATGGCTCTTATCCACCACACAGTTGGAGCGGTTGCATATTAAGCACCTAGCATATAAAAAAGAGAAAAACGATATGGTTCTTTGTATACATTTGAATGAAAAATATGCGTATTTTGATAGCTCAAAGTTAATCAAGACTTTTTATATCCTTATTACGATAAGTTGGGAAAATTAATTTTCAACCCGTACACTTTCAATTTGAAAACAAGTTACTAAAAATGAGATTGCACAACTGCACTGAAAATCGTTTTAGGGTACTGAACTAGACCCTACGGCAACAGCAAACTAGATCTAAGGTTGATCACAACCTTTCAATACAAAATTGGCAGTAGATGACCCTTTTCCTTCATTTCACTTATCCGCTCTTTAATCTCAGTTGTCATGGCTGCGCGACACCTGTCAACAAATGTGGAGAGCTTCTCTATTTTCTCATTCCACGAGCCTATGGCTTTGAGAACATCAGGGGCTGCAAGGCTGAGCTCTGCTATGACTGCTGTTCTTGAGATTGTGTTGCGGTCAACACCAATACCCTCAAAGGCAGCTTTCATTGACTTCCCCTCCCTGTATGCTTCCAGGGCTGCTTTGTATCTCCGAATGATGTCTCTGCAGTTTTTCACTGAAAGAAAAAGAAGCATGTAAAGTTGATATGCATATTTCTATTTCTTCCATGTCAGTCTATGGAGCAGAATGCCAGTCTGCCACTCTTATAAAATGCACAACTGGCTTTCACCCAGAGACCGAAGAAAGTTCAACATACTGCAGTCAAGAATGACTGGAAAATAGTAAACTGTAAAAAATGAGCAAACTCACCACGAATGCGGCTGGTTTCAGGTCTGGGGCTTCCACTAAACTTTGGAGGCAACTGACTTGAGAGTAGAATCGCTCTCTTCTTGTACTTTTTTTTATTTTTGGAGTCATCTTCCAGGGATGAGTCTGATAATGACGAATCAACGGGTACAGTCAAAGCAGCTTCAGAATCATCATCAGAGATGTTGATTCTTTTTGGTGGAGTTCTACTCTTGGAAGACTCCCCTGCAACAAATCAAACAAACAACAAAGCCATACAAACTTAACATTATTTTACTTTTCAACCTAGGAAATTACATCTATTACCTCAGTAGTTATTAGTAGTTCCTGAAGGCTGCAATTGATCCTATAGTAAAGGCATGATGGGATCATTCTTACATTCCCTTAGCCATGTTTTCTGCCCCATGTCCCCAGTACGGACTTTTATTACTTTATTTCTATAGCTTTTTCAAAACAGCAGTTAGAAAGTATGGAATGGCATTTGGTTCAATAAATAAATATTCCCATGAAATAAATTCATATGAATCTTTCGAGAAATGGGACATTAAATAAATTAAAATATAAATATACAAATTTGTCAATTCTGGGGATGTTTATTTATTTATTTATTCATTTATTTATTTCACGGCACTTTTTTATTTCGAAGCATACATGTCACTTCTCACATTCAAATGAATGGGGCGTGGTTAGCTCATGCATTGAAAGAGGCAACAGCACCGAATCACTGAACACAAACAGCAGTGCTGATTTCGAGCAAACCGTGAAAATTTCTGGTGGATGGAAGGACAGTCAGCCATATGGTCCATGGAGGGTGTAAATTTCCTGTTTTAATATTACCATATTTATCAGGAAAAGAATCAACTGTTTAAATATTATCATGTGTCTGGGTGACTCGGTGGGATCTTAATTTCCCCTTTCCCCTCTACCAATTCTCTCGGTTATGTCAGGGGTAACAACGAGGCTATACCTCGAGATAACCAAGGGTAGCGTAAGTGTTCCCTCTACTCTTTATCCGCCCCTGGTTAATGCAAAAAAATGGCCACTAACCCCGGGGTCTGAAACCCTGCCAGCGCCCAGGGTCAAGGACGGCAATCTCAGGGTAAATGGCAAAGCCCCAGGGCGAGCAGTGTAGTGGGACGCCAGACAGGGAGAGAGCTCCACGGACTACCGCCGGGTTTAATAAGCAATTGATGAGGTCAAAGGTTAAATACTTTAGGCTCATAAGCTTGAAATCTCTGGCTCACGAATTTTAAATTATTTTCATCCCATAAATATCAGCTTTGTTTTATTTGGAAAACAGAAAAAAAAACGTTAACACTAGCTTCCGGTTGGCAGTCTATTCAAGGAAATTGGATGTATAATTCGCTAGCTAGTACGCTAATGCTTTTTGCCATTTTACTAATACGACAACAATTTAGTGTTACTCATAACATTACTGGCCAAACGTGTTAGCATACTAGCTAACGAATCATTCATTCCACTGGCGGGAATAAACTGTCAATTAAGCTAACGCCAGCGATGGTGAACGGTACCCTGCAGAACTGGTGGCGTTATTTGCAAAGGTTGACGTTCGTCAATGCAGCAGCAGTGGAGAACCGCAAGGCGCTAACCTGGGGCAAGCTCCCTCCTGGCTAAGCGAGACTCCAGGAAATGAGAAGTAATGGGAACACAACTCCGAGTTAACCAGCCCTAGGCAGCAAGAGCTTAACCCAGGCGGCATATCTCTCGGTTAAGCAGTTTGTTGAGGGGAAATGGGCAAATAATGAATCTAGGTTTGCTTGGTAAACATGCACGCTAATTTGGAATCTCATCGTAGTGGTTAAGACTCGTGAGCCAGCAGCCAGCATGAGCCGTCACGTAAACCTACAATGCTGTTCTCTTACATTAGCTCATGGGTCTTTATGGGCAAAGACAATCAGTGGCAACATGGTATGTATTAGACTAATGTAGAGACCATCGTATGTTCGCCACCTTTTTACAATGTGCGTCTTTCATAGTGCATGATTTAGGAGAAATCAAGGAATAAGAAACGTGGAAATGGCGTATCACAAGGGGTTGCCTATCTCCGAGTTATTGAGAGAGGCTGCCAACCACCTTGTAATGTGCATCCCACGCCTAAGCCTTATCTTCTGGGACATCCTCTGCTTGAACACGGTGCTCAATCAATCCCATATATTTAAAACTTTGCCATTCACATCTTTATCTTGACGGTCACTAATCCTCCCGAGTATTTCCTGAAAGTCTTCAATACTGGCCAAAAGTGCACCGCTGATAAGCGATGCTGATCAATTTGTTCTGCTAAGGATAGCATTGAATTTTTTGGAGCGCGCCCGATGTCATACATACTAACCGCCTAACAAACGAGGCTATCCGCTTGAGTCTTCTTAATAAATTAAATCGCAATAAATTGAACTCATACTTAAATTTATATTTTAGTGTATTTATTGCCCCATTTGTTTAAAGATTCATTTCATTTCCGCCTTAATTTATGTCATGGGCATATTCACG